AAAGAATTTATACCATGAAGCAGAGATTCCAGTAGGGAAAATTCCCTTTCAGACAATTTCACTTTCATATCTATTCAATTGCATTTATGCACGGATTACAATAGACAGTAACAAGTATTTTGGAGTGTACGTGTGTTGAAATTCGGCAGTGAATGGAAATACTGAAGTAAGTTAATGTTAGTTTAGATGACAATTACGAATGAATGCAGAAAAATCAACGAAAAGTTCGATTTATCTTTTTAACAACCAATGAGTTACTGTTCTGTGTAGCGAAACAAAGAAATATTCCTATATATTCATTTTTATAACTTGAATTGGGTACCAGCTATATAAACAATCAATAATTTTAGGCCGTTTTTTCAAATCTTAATTACCATCACACTTAATAAACGTGACATCTACATGAAAAGCTAGTCAAGAAATATATATATATATATATATATATATATATATATATATATATATATATATATATATATTGGATCACAGGAACTAATTAAAAAAAGACGGTTGTAGCGAAGAAAATTTTCTTTTAGACAAAGTCATCCACCAGGCTGTACATTCGTTTATTTATAGTAAATGTGCGATAAAGTACCAGTGTCATTTCCGGTCAAAGGTCAAATTAAAATTAAAAAGTGAAATAATCAGGAAGACAGGGTAGAAAAGACATCATAAGATCATAATTACTGAAAAACTTTACTGTTTGTACAATTAGGTAGGAAGTTCAGATACATAAAACACCAATGAACAAAGGTAGTAATGTAGATAGGAATTGAAAACATAAAAAACAACAGAAATAAACAGTAAGGTTGGATAAGATTGGTAATTGGATAATCATTATTGGTGGGACTGACTTTTAATGACAACAAGGGTTGGACGTATTTGTTTCGAACACATAACGTGGTTCTGAGATTTCGGATCGCCAGTGCCTCCGCTATTCCTAGATGCTTTGATTTCACTCCCTTTGAAAGGTTTGATTGGATCTAGTACATGACTTTGAAGGACTTTCCAAATGGAGCTGGATATTCTGAATTCACCAGATGTTCTGTTACCGAACTGCATACGCCCTTGCGTTCTCCCTTTGCTAACCATGCTGGATAGTATTGCCGAGCGCGTTTTACAAATGAACGCATAGTACAACCAGTGTACTCGCCTTCACACAGGCAAGTGAACTGATATATGCATGTTGGTGTGGCTCAACATGACAGCTTGTCTTTCACTTGCTAGTTGAATAGGTTCTTGCAGGACAGTGTTGCTCGTAGGCTGATGACGAAGTATGTTTTACTGAGAGACTTCGAAATCCCTCTATGGAGAAGTTCTACCTCGGTACCACTTTTAAATATGAGGTTAAGTACCAGCAACTTTTTGGAAGCAACTTAGATCTTTCCAGGCGTTTTCTTTGGTTTCAAATTCCTGTCTATGAATCTAGGTGGGAACACATTTTCTTTATAGAAAAAACCCCTATTCATACATTTATAAAGCAAAAGGATTGAGCGAAGAAATATTTACTTTTCAATTAGATCCTCATTCCTGGTTCTATATATGTCTGTCTGTTTTCGACATAGAACTTTGCACAAATGTACGGAAGTTCAAGTCGCCACACTCCGTGTAGTACGCGAAGCAAGAGAAGAAAGTACAAGAAAAGCATAATAGAAACGGTGAGCAGAGGTGTGAGACAAAGGAGTAATAAAGAAAAACAAAACAGTTTCATTGCAGATCATAAGTCACAAGGAGTGGATGCATCTGCGCCACTGAGAACGATTTTGAGCCATGTCACCAATTGTTTCCAACCATAGATTTTTATCGTCCCGAGGACCCCAGCCTGGAAGTCTACATCTTCCAACGTGGATTAGACCAACTGTTGTGGATTTCATTGACTGGTGTCAAGTTTTTGTTTGACCGCCGCTAGCTTTTTTCCAGCATGACCCTATATCCGCTAACATTGCTCGTCGAGGAAGGCGATGGCTTGGCATACGTAACACATGTCCTAACCATCTCAGTCTTTGTAACTTCACGACTTCGTTGATTGATTTCCCCTGTTTACCTAGCACTCTACGCCTAACCTCCATGTTGCTCACCTTATTATGCCACTTTACACGGGAAATAGAACGCAGGCACCTATGATCAAAGACAGCTAGTCTTTTCATGTCTTCCACTCTCAGTGGCCAGGTCTCACAGCCATAAAGGAGGACGGAGAGGACTGATGAGCAGTACACCCGCCCTTTGGTCGATAGTCGAACACCTCGTCTACGCCAGAGACGGCGTAAACTGGCAAATGCGAAACGAGCCCCCTGTATTCTTGCTAAGATTTCGTCAGAGATCAGCCCGTTGGGGCTGATGGTACTTCCCAAATAAGAGAAGCGGTCGACATGTTCTACAACTTCACTTCCTATTTTTAAACTAGGAGTCGCTGTAGTTCAGTCCTGTAGCATCATCTTGCATTTGGCGGGAGCGAATCGCATGCCAAACATTCGTAGATTGCGGCTCAAGGTGTTTAGAAGACTCTGCATTTCGTCAGCGTCTTCGCCTAGAAGGACTATATCGTCTGCATATTCCAAGTCAACGAGATTATTCCCCGGTAGCAAGTCAATCCCTGAGTCGCTGAAGTCACCTAGGGTTAAGTCCATTAACACATCTATGATGAAGTTGAATAGAAAAGGAGATAATGGGCATCCTTGACGGACACCACTGGTCGTCACCAGTTCAGATGACAGCTCGCCGTAAGCCCCCACCTGGCTGTATGAGTACGAGTAGAGTGCCTTAATCAGTGCAATATATTTTCTCGGAATTCCCTTTACAGCCATATATATATATATATATACCAGCATGTCAAGGGAGTGAAAATTAACCCAGAAAATTAATAGATACCATTAGAAGATAGCAATGACTACAAAAAATTGGATTGCATGATGCATAATTTTGGAAAAATAAAGAGGAATTAAGGTATAAGTGAGTGCTCAAGTCGATTACGTAACAGCATGTTAGAGAAAAACAAAGCACTTTGGACAATGATAACACGTGATTAAAGATGAAGAATTTAGGATAATAATTTGCACAATTATAATTTTAAAAGTTTTACGGGGAGAGTGAAGTAGTCTGGTTTATTCGTTCATATAACGATAGCCGAGGTAAGGAAAATGACTGTACGAATTTCTTCCAAACACGCAGATTTGGCTTCTTCAGGTAAATTCCTATGGCTTCAGCTGTATGTAGAAGACGAATTGGTAAAAAGCGATTAAGACTGGTAGGAATGGAATAAATAGTTTTTAAATGCTGCGGGTTTTTATTCGCTAATTTAACCCAATTATTTACTTTGCTCTTCTTTATAAACACGACAACAAACGACTATAAACATGGCATAAGCCAGATTGCCTAATGTATTAATGATATTGGATTTTATTGATATATATATACGTGAAAGTGACTCTTGAAATACACAGTGGGTTCCCTAAGTCATTCATTTACCTAGTAGTAGCTGCAGATGCGCTATAGACAGCACAGTTTATACGGAATAAATTTATAAGCCTACATAAAACAGAAAATCAACTTACAAAATGTGGTCAGAATCCTTAAAATTTGTGTATATCTCTGGGATCTCTCTCTTTCTCAAAAAAAAACTTCTCGCACTACCCACCATGCAAGTTAAAACTCTACTCAAAAAAAACGTTGTAAGCAGCTAGATGAGAAAATATTTCCAATACACAACTTAGGAATAGAGCTCAAGGGAGACAGAAAACACATCATTCTGATACTCAGTTTACTAAAAGGACTGAAAATGTGTGTCAAGCCAACTCTAATTTTCACATTATAATTGTATTAATGGGCTGAAATAGTTCTTAAAATAACATTAGGTGGGACTTCATTGAGTGTTCTTACTTTTGTTGTGCTATTCGAAAACAAAAATGTTACTCAAGAAAGCTGCTTGCGTTTCCATTTAGCTGGCTACAAGCCACATCTATTGCGTGAGGACTATTGATGCTACTGTGGCGACTTGAACTTCCGCACATTTGTGTAAAGTTCTATGTTGAAAACAGACAGACAGACAGACTGAGATACCCCCTACACATGGAACCTGGGACTCTTAAGTCAGAAATTACACACGAAGACCAGTGAACTATAGCTCCACTGTCAAATATACACGAGTAGGTATTCTGATGAAAAGTTTACATTATTCCTTGTTTTTCCAACGGCGGCCTACTTAAATCACCAGGATTCCAAAGTTTCCATTCAATAAAATGCTTAAACTCTTCTGAATTTCTTACCGTATTAATCAGGCAATTATATCAAACGATCACTGAATGAACTCATGCAAATATTTAATTAGCTTTCAACCAAACGCTGAGCAATTCTTGAAGGGAATGAAGAAAAGTGTACTGAATTGGTTCTCTATCCATATGCAACAAAACTATATCACATGAAATACCTCAGATTATTACTTAATATATATATATATATATAAATCCTGTGCAAAGACGAAATATTTTGGAACTCTACAAATTTCTGTACTATGTATTCGCATATTTTCTGAAATAAAGCTTTAACGTCACTGATATAAGTATAAAACTTGGGCACTGTGGTAGAGTATAATTCCATTATAGATAAGATTTTATTTTGATAAATCGCACAGTGTTTACAGTAATGTTTACTGATGACGTTTCGAGCACAATTTATTGCTCATAATCATATCAAGGTAATCACACGACTTCCTAAATTCATTTATATAGTTCCATTGTTTTTCTCTTGATTTTCACTTGATTTGATTGGTAATAGTATTTTCCATATTTCAGGTATGAGTGATGAGTCATTCCTATTGCATGTGTTGGGTGTAGACTCGATGAACAAGGATTCAGTAATCAACCTCTCTCTCCACCTATCTAGATTACTTTTTAGAATTTTAACCCTCTCCCACCCTATTGTGTGGTTGTGTGTTAGCGCATGCATTGCAATTGCAATCAACAAAAGGTACACCATCATAACACAGTGAAGTTTTACTGAAAAAAGCTACTATTATAAATGCAATTTATCATTTACAGAGATGTTGAACGCCGCTTCGTATAAATGAAGTATACACTGCAAATATAAAGAGGATTTTAGAAATGTACAATCAAAACCAGAAATCTTGTGAGCACATTATAAAGTGAGATATATCAAAATAAAACTTTGTTTTAAAAATTAGACATCATATAGAATTAAAAGAAATGTCTGGACGAGTACGGGTACATTCCTCTTCCGGAGATAAAGAAACAGCGATAGAATAGAGAGGGTCAGTTTTGGAATCATACTGAGGAACATCTATTTCCAAGTGGTCTAACATAACAGCGCGAAATAACTCATCACAAGGAACACGAAGAACTAAGTCAGCGACTCCATCTTTACAAGTAGGCTGTAAATTAATAATGACTAAGCGACAATTTTCAATAGGATTAGAACTTGGAGTCGATTCTGCTTCTTGATTGGAAGGTGTTGGTTTCCTTTGAAGTTTCTTACACGATCCCTTCTGATCACATCGACCAAGACCATAAGGCCACAAAAATGAATAATTTCGTAAAACAGTCAGAGATGACCCAATGACAATTATCAATTTAGCAGGTGTTTCCAACGGATCGGAGGACAAAGACGGTGTATCATTTGCACCTGTGGATTTAGAAATGCCTTCACATTCTGTCTTCATTGCAGGACGCATTCTTTTAAACCAAGGAGATCCTATAAGATATTTTGTTGACTCATCATTGGGACGTTTGCAACCACGATTCAGTAGTTTACAGTCTTTTGAAGTGGATGTTACAGCATCTTTCAGTGATTTACGACCATGTACAGCTTCTATAGCTGATTGAATGCGATAAATTTCTGCCAGTCCCATTTCCGGTTGACGTTCAAAAAAATGTACAACAACATCTCTTAACAAAGGTGCTTTTGTAAGAATTTCGGAATTACTTACAACAGATGAATTTTGTATACCATTTAAACGTTGCTGCATCGCTTTACGACGTATACTTTCAAATGACTTGGCTAACTTTCTTGCAGCATGTCGATAACTTAACATTAAGTTTTCAATAGAAACATTTGTTTTGTACTTTGACGTTGCAAACTGTTCCGCTGCTTGTCGTAGTACATTACTGGCGATTGAACTCTCGAAAGGGTGTAAACTGCGGCAGCGAGGACATATACGTCCAGTAAAGTGGTGTGAACGGGAAGTAGTCTCAGCGACATCAAAGCTGCGGAAGACACTGTGTGAACAAGCGATACATTGCTGAAAAAGAAAGGAATAACACTGGTTAACACAGCAAAGGCTTTTGCTTTATTACGCATGCAAAAGCTTTTGAATAATAAGCCATGATAAGTGTGTTTCCCAAGGTAGATATGATGTGTGAAAAGAATACTACACGTATAATAAGACGTATAATTTGCGTCACTTTGACAAACTTTAAGTTTAAAATGCCCACTCCTCTATTTCGATTCTGAGCCACATATGATGACGTCTCCAGACGATAAGTTGTATAGTTCCTCAAACTTCACCCAGGGAATCAAAACATGCTAAAATAACGTAAATATCCTTCATTTCAACACACCGCGTCATACACTGACCACCACAAACAACAAGTTTACACCTTTGTGTCCTTTAACTAATTAGGCAATATTCAGATTTGTCGCACAGCAAATTTTAAGAATTGTTAGCAGAACGAAAATTAGACATCTATTAATTATGTGTCTGACTGATGTTCATTAAATACAACAAACTCTCATAATAAGTGAAACTCTGCTAACCTCAACTGTGGGGCGAAACAGTAAATTATAAGCCTACATACACCAGGTGTGCATCATATCTTCTTACATAAAAAATTGCAGTATGTACTTGAATAGTACGAATACTATAATCATAACCTCACTTAATTTACTACTTTATCAAAGAAATTAGAAGATACGGAATAAAAGTGCTAGGAAGCCGTGAGATGGAAGACATCCAGGAAGGACTAAAAACAAGGCACTCTGGGAATAAACCGACCAAGAAAATGCTGTCCAACATATGTCGAAAAAATGGGGGTGAATCAGAAATACGCTGAGGAGGCCGTTGAGTGACGGCGCTCACCAGGCAAGGCCTCAAGCGGAACCCGAATAGGAAACGACTAGTCAGGTGTCCGAGGGTGATATGCAAGAGATTGTGTAAGGAAGGGACGAGAGCTCGCGGTCAATAGTGGAGTCAGCTAAAGAGGACTGCAGAGGACAAGATGAAATGGAGAGGCGTTGTTGGAGTGCTCTGTTCTACTTGGAACCTAAAGGAATAATAATAATAATAATCAAAGTATAAAAACGAGTTCTTTAACATGATACAAGACATACATACATCTAATATCATCAAATCAATGTGCACCGTGATGTCCAGCTACCTAGAATGGTGGCCACATTGCAAACCTGACTGATAAAATTCAGTCTGCACCAAACAAATGACTAGAAACGTCACACCAGTTACTAGTGTCCAATCAAAATACCCACTACAGTCCTACAGGAGGTCAATCGCGAGCCCGAATACCTCAGTGGTAACGTCTTTGATTGCAGCACTGGGTGACGCGGGTTCGAATCTCAGAAGGGACATGAGTTCCTTCAAGGTTGCAGATACGCCTTGCTGATGAGTGCCAACTAGCACGAAACCTAGGTCAGCAAAGGCTTCCTGTGGCCGATTGCCTCCAACCATCTAATATCATGATACAAGACTTTATACATGAATTATAAGCTGAGAGCATTTCAGTATTCAATCACCCTACTTTTAATTTGCCTAACATACAGAAAATTAGAATTATATGTATTTCAAGAATTACAGCTGCCTGGACGTTTTAATGACTGATCGCAGTTTTATCTATAGAGTATAACAAGTCAATGACAATAACAAGGTCAATTTTAAGTAATGTGTGTGCCAATGGAAAACTGGTATCTTAAATGTACTTACTTCAATAAATAAATTGCCATGCAGTTCTGAGAGTTTCTCACGTTTTAAACCACTTCGCATATGTAAACCGTCAACATTTTGAGAAACTACATGTCGAACCTAAGATTTTGCAGAAACGAATGGCCTCGTTAGTTAAATTAATTACTAAAATCAATTTCACAAAAAGCAAATATGAAAATAGGTTATTAGTACATATAAGTATTTTCTTCAAAGGCTTACCTGAATAGTGTTATGCCTGTCAGATTACTTCTATGAACACCCAAATGGACCAAATACAGGTCAGACTAAGTATATTAAAGAGATTATTGAGTTATCTATTAATACATCCTTGGTTGGAGAACAGTTAATTTCTACCATGGCTTTTCCAAAATGTCTAATATACGTCTTTGGAGGTCACTCAACAGAAAATTCACACATCACTCGAGTGACTGGCTTTGCAAGAAAGAAAGCAAATGACTGAGGTTAGTTTACGCATCTCTCTAGAGTCAATGTATAACTAAACAATTCACTTCCCAAGTTTGTGTGAATTAACTTTTATAACAAACTTTTATAATGCAAGAAGAGACCACTTTCCACCAAGGAAGACTTTAAATTACCTCACAGAAATACTTCAAAGTACGTTTATAAAATGATCTTAGAATGTATATAAAATCTCTGTTACGTACATATCCTTCATCCACAAGAACTTTGATAGCCATATGAGTGAATGTTGGTTTCGCAGTTGTAGCTTCTGGAAGTCTCAGTTTCAACGGGGTAGTTTTTCTTGACTTTGAGGACTTAAGGGATGATTTACCATTGGATATTTTACCCTACCACAAAGATGAGCGGTCAGGAATCCTGCATTATACCTGTTTTTTGGTCATCTGATCACATCTTCCTTTATCATTTCTTTTGAAATCAAGAACTAGAACAATATAATGAAAACTACAGTGAAATACCTGAATTATTTTTGGTTACTCGACTAGTTTGCATAGTCCATAAACCATTTGTTCCCCTGTAATCAGGAATACTAGCAGATGTGCTGATTCCAGCACCGGTATATATGACGATATCTCCTTTATGCTCTTTAATGAGGCGAGCCAAGAGAGCTGCATCTTGATGCCAGCTTTGAGCTGTCTGAAAACCAGGGAGATTTGAAAAGAATATATGAACATACGAAATTTAGTATAATATTTTCTCCAAAAGCACTAACTGGTTACCTACCACACATGTAGTACTTAAACTTACCACTTAAAATTATTAGTAGCCGAACGAAACAATAAAATACATCATCACGGTTAACGCACATAAATCAGACAACGCTGATGAAACTGTGTAGAATGTCTCAATTCAAAGTGAAATCACTATGAAAAAATCCACCCAGCAAGAAAGACTAGGTATCAATTTGATTAATGGTGGTTAGCACTGAAATATACGATGCGCATATCGTCATACTTGAGACTTGTCATCCGGATGTATCCGCAATCTTGGTAAGTGTGACTAAAAATAGTTCGGTTAACATATCTGCTTACACACTCTAGCTTCATCTAGCTTTATGTGCACATTCAAGGAAAGTGATAACAAGGTTCGCTTACATGCACTAGGCAGTGAGTCGAGCATATTTTAATGAATGATGATGCCACACTACTGCCACTCCTGAATGAAGTACCTTGAACATGGAACTACAGTTCGTTCAACTATAGTGGACATATCAGATGAAAATAAAACACCAAAAACGCCAGCACCTCAAGCAAACAAATCTAATGTCAACAGTACATCGCAACAACGAGATAATTGATAATAAACCGCTTAACCCTACGTTAGTCTAAGAAACACACTAATTTCCAACTACATACTGAGGTGACTACTTTTCATTCACCTAGGTGGTAAACCAAGCCATCAACTTCCCAGACAAACAACGCTTCCTAGATGAGAAAAATGAAAACAGTCATACTAGAACAATAACTTGCACATATTCTGGTAGTTGATGTGTCATGTATGGAGGTGTCAGCTGTCTACTTAAACTCCTTGAGCCGTTAAGATGTCTGGAGATTCTCGGTCACACGATGTGAATCTGGCGAAATTAGTGAGGATATAATATCGCACTAGAGCCACTTTCACTATCCTCCAGGTAGTCGCCACTTCCTCTCTAACGCGTGGCTTTTTTCATTTTGTTCCTTCTAATAACGTAGCATCCTGGAATAACGAACTGCTGAGTGAAGGCCTATTTCGACCTGTCCATCTGGCTACCTTTTCATCCACGATGATACTACCCTAGTAATCTAATGATGACGATGCTAAGTTTCAGGTTAAAAAATGTTAGCACAACTTATATTAAAACACCCAAGCAAGAACTAAAACAGCTAGTTTGAAAATAGGCGAACACCAGTAAGCGTACGTTCCCAAAGTTGCATTACTGGGATTGGCACATGAATTAATGCAGTTTCTACGAAGTAATTCCAAGAACAGCAAAATATTTAAAGATATATTCTGAATTTTGATTATTCAGACGATTTTATTTTCAGTTGTAAATAAGAGACAAGACGCGATTAGCATCTAATCATAGTACCACATATACAGCCGTTATTTTTTGTTAGGAGTAAATTTTTTGTCACTTGACACTTCTGTTATTCTTCCATGCTATTTTCCTCTTCTGTGTTCAATTTCCACTCCACTTAACTTCCTTTGCTTATCAGTTTGCCACTTACATGAATGAAGCATATTTGTAATATCCCTACCCAACTAAAGCACGGGTCCCAGCCACCCCCCAATAACTATTACTCCATGAGAAGCTATGTCGATACAGAAACCATTCCATCAACTTTAAAGTGTGCCTGCACGTTGTTAAATTCCTACTTCAATTATATGCGTCACCTAGCTTCTGAATATCAGTAATTCAGACTTATAAGAGCCTTATAGACTTCTGTTGAACGGCTTCACATCATGAGAGGTCCATTCCTACGGTCTTCGCTGCTCATTGATGAATGACAAAATTCACTGGCAACATAAACACTTAAGTACGCTAGGCAGAGTACTTTACCGATCAGGTTGTGATATAAACTTATGATATATGACTACATGTAGTTGGGTAAGTTCATAAAACATCTTGAGGATATGACATATGCAGATGTGCTATAACATTAAAGAATTCTCTGACAGAGGATTTCTCCCAACTTTATTACTAATATTAGGAGGAATCCCTCGTCTAATAAGTGGAAAATATTTTTCAAGACTCAAAGTACAGAAGACTGACAGGAAAGCAAACATAACAACCCAACAGTCATTTACGAAGGTAGCCCACCATCGGAAAATGTGACGAATTTAAGTGTTCCAATATCCAATATCGTTTTTACGAGCTAGTATAAACCAATTTGATTTCTTTGTGCTCGCTTCTTGATTGTAAGGTAAAGGTTCCTGATCTTCGGTAAACTTCTGCGTAGCTCGTCCCGCCACTCGACTGTCGTAGCTTTGGTTGACTCCAAAGGGAGTAGTGCTGGGATTAATTATATGTGGTTTGTAGTGTGAGGTGTGTTACGACTGTTACTACTGTGAATAGATTTGATCCCGTAGCCAGTTAGTCCTCCGGTATCGTCAACAAGAGAAAAGAGATAGTAATAATAATAATGCTAATAATAGATATAATTAGTGAAATTATTCAGACTAAGAGACAGAGACGGATATGATTGAGAAGATTTGTAGCTCAGGTGGATAATTTTGATGTGGTTTTGTTCTCTGAGCTGGATAGTTAGTTTGCGAAGCTTTCATCACCTTACTGGGTGATAGTGTTTGTATGCAGTTCCTTTTGTGTGCTATTGGGTTGTTGCTGTTGTAATTCAGTATTTGGTCTGTGTGAGTTGATTTCCTATAAACTTGAGTTTCTAATTCTCCTGTAGTTGTTCGCCTGACTAAGACGTCCAAAAATGGTATTTTGTTCTCGGATTCCTCTTCTCTTGTGAATTTGATGTCGTTGAAGACGTTGTTTATTAAGTTGTGAGTTTTGTCTAATTCGTTTATTTTGATTATTACAAATGTGTCGTCGACGTAGCGTATCCAAATCTTGGGTTTCATCTTTGGTAGAATTATGTTTTCGACTCTTTGCATCACTGCTTCTGTCAATGGAGTTGAAGATTGAACGATCAATTCATGGTTGTTTGCTTAAAATCAACTTCCCCAATTTTCGCGGAGGCATCAATACGACAGTCATCGTCTCATCGGTCGCTGTTCAGAAAGAAGAGTGAAACATCGTCAGAAGTAATACAGAGATTTATTATTGTAATATTTGTTTTCAGACCTTAGTTGCTTAGTTCGCTTATTCCTTTTATATGTTGGTGTAACAATAAACAAATCTAAAGCGGCAGATCAGTGTTTTGGTTTTTGCGTCCGTTATAACTAAGCGTTTCTGAGAAATCTTCGAAGAACAGCGTGGGCCCGAGCGTAGCGAGAGCTGGGCATTAACGGTTTATGAGACGTGATTGACAGTTTCTGACGATAGAAACAGATCTGGCGGATTGAAACAGTTGGTGAAAGTTTGGATAGTCGCCGTTCATTTTTCCTGGTGCCGGTCAAGTCCTCTTTGAACAAGCAATATCTGGAACTTTTTGGAATTGGGTCAAGTTCAACAATGCCTGGGTCAAAGAAGGGACAGAGTGTCTTGGATGCAAACAGGAAAGTAAGTCATGGTGACTTGTCTGTTAATTGTAACGATGTGTCTGATGTTAAGCATGACATGGTTGATGTTACTGTTTCGCCGTTCAGGGATAATAGGAACATCAAACTCCCTAAATTTGAACCACGGTGTTTTGATGGAAACCCGGCTGATTATTTACAATTTGTAAAGGAGTTTGAGATCATGTTGAGTGGTTTTTTATTAAATGATGAATTGAAGTTAATGTATTTGATGAGATATTGCACTGGAGATGCTGCAAGAGCTATACAGTGCTGTAAGTTTATGAAGCCAAAAGAGGGCTACTACGAGGCTATGAGCATATTACGTCAAAGGTTTGGAAGACCTTCGATGATTGCAGGGAAATTATTCGAGGCTGTTAAGGGTAATGGTGGTCAATTACAGGATGACTCCCAGGCACTCACTGAGTTTTTAGATAATTTGCTAATTTACAAGAATGGAATGATTTCGATGAATCGCATGAGTGACCTCAACTCGAGTTTTATACTAGAAGTAATAGCAAGACGTCTACCTACTCGACTGCAAAGGAAGTGGGTGAAGATGAGCTCCCGTATGGAGGATGAGGGTATCGAGCCAAAGTTTGATGATATCCTGAAACTGGTAAATACTAGTGTCAATCAATCTATGAGCAAGTTTTCCAGTCTGTTAGATCTCACCCCTAGAATAGAGCAGTCTGAGGGTAAAATGCAATCATTGATGACGAATAAGCCTCAGAGAGGTGGATATCGAGAAGACTCCATGATGTCTAGTAATGCATATAGACCTAGTGAGTGTAACAGGTTTCGTAGTACATCCTCAACAGATAAGTTACAAGATGCAAGACAAACACGGCTTTGTTTTACACGTGTGCAAGAGGTGCATACAGAAGTGAACTGTGAACCGGTGAGCAAGTTCAGTGATAAGCTAAATGTAAACTCCAGGCCTGACTCCGAATTGTGTGACGATAACGGTGTGGTGAAGAAGTCTGTAGTTGCAACTGGTAAGCCGTTGTTGAATAGAGTGTCACAGAATAGAGTTGCTGCTTCAGAGTGCAGTTCTGACCCTACAAGTTTACAAGGTATTACTAGTCAGAGTGAAGATATAAAACCTTTAATGATTAGTGAGGAGGAACCAAAATTGTCTACTTCTGTTATTAAAGAGTTTGAAAATGATGAACTTGACGGTAAATTGAATATTTGTGGTAATGATCATGATAGTGCAGATTTGTCTTTGGTTGATCATGATGAGATGAGGGATATGCCTACTACTGCTAAGTTAAATAAAGGTTCTGTACAACTTGAACGTGAAGTAGAATTAAATGCAGTTGCAGAAGTTATGGATATTTGTGAGACCGTCAGTGTAATTGATCAGCATGTAGCCCACCTATCATCAGATGCTAGTGCTAAACCTGAGCTGATAGTAAAAGACAGCAGTGGTGGTGGTCTTGCAGGTGGACAAATTTCTGAAAGTCGAGCAACAACAGCTTTTGATCCACCGCTAACTTCATCAACTGATATCAATCAGTCGTCGTTGGTGCTGTCATCCACAATGAAAAAGACGCCCATCAACTCAAGTATCTTGTGCAATGACTATGGTAGTATCAGTTCGTTTGAAAGGACGAATATCAATGGTCAGTTTAGTGAGGATAAGCCAAGTGTAAACGAGAGAGTAATTGTTAAATTGACTTGCACGAATAAAGGCATTTCTAGTTTCAAGTTACTATTTGAATGTTATTATCTTTGGTGTAAATTACTCTGTTTCTACACTTGGTTGATGAGATATGTCGTGTGTTTGTTGGTCATCTATATTCTACGATACAATGACATGGGCGTGTTGCCGTTCAGATTTGAGGATATAGCTGATAGAAGGAAGTCAGCAAATGAACTCTGCGACGATTTTCCAACTTAGAGCGTCAACCTGAGAAGGGTTGTAGGCGTACTGCTGTAAGTCCTACAATTCTTCAAAGGGTAGCGCATCAATGAGCAGTCCAATGTGCTCGGTGTGTGATCTTGTACATATGTTCATATTGTATATACTGAATTGATATCATCTGTCATCTAGCTGTTGGTAATTCTGTTTGTGTCCGGACGACTTCCACTTGGATCATCAACCTGAGAAGGAATGTAGGCGTACTGCTGTAAGTCCTACAGTTCTTCAAGGGTAGTTTGTCGTGTCAGAATCCACAACATTTGATGTGTTGATTGTACATATGTTTGTGTTAAATAGTTGTGTGAGTTCCAATTGTTGTAATTGTTGGTTAATCTTGTTTGTGTCCTTACATTCCACAAATTACAATCGTCAACCTGTGAAGGGTTGTAGGCGTACTGGTGTAAGTCCTGCAATTCTTCAAAATAATTCCACCAAGACATGATCCGCGAGGTTATTTGTACTGTTTGTGTATACGTGTGGTGTGTCTTCGCAATTTGTGATTTTGGATCAGTTGTGTTTACTCGTTGTTTTCGTGCCTTGTTTTTATTGCATAATTTTGTTAAAATTTTCGTCGTGATTACTTCTGAAGTTGTTTCTTGTCTTCTACATCCGTGAATGAATTGATTGATGTTAGAGACAGCAGATGGGTCGTATACGCCGGGGAGGCTAGGCTATTGCTGAGAATGAAACGCACACGGAGATAATTGTTAGCTGCGGTCCGACACGCCGGGGAGAAAGAGTGTAAACGAATGAGGCTCGCATGCGTCACCGCTACTAGAACTGAGGCAGAATGAGTGACAAGCGATTTCAGTGGTAATTGGTAGTGAGTAATTAAGAGGATGTGCGTAGAGTATCGTGAGGTGCTGCCATGGTCACTTTGCATTCTGCAAGAGTCATTCTAGCAAATGGCGATTGTGTTGCAAGATGTCAAGAGGAGGTCTCTGTCTGGAGGCGCAGGTCGTCATTGATGTGGGAGATTGTGCTGTGGGTATGCTTGTGGTGTGTTGGCTTTTCTGTTTGTTTTCCATTTCAGCTCTGTCCGTGTGACCCAGGTTCTCGCAATGGCATCCAAGTCGACGTGCATTGGTCGTGAAGGAAAAAAGGGTTGGATCCCTTTTTTGCCGGAAAGTGTCAATGGAGTTGAAGATTGAACGATCAATTCATGGTTGTTTGCTCAAACTCAACTTCCCCAATTTTCGCGGAGGCATCAATACGACAGTCATCGTCTCATCGGTCGCTGTTCAGAAAGAAGAGTGAAACATCGTCAGAAGTAATACAGAGATTTATTATTGTAATATTTGTTTTCAGACCTTAGTTTGCTTAGTTCGCTTATTCCTTTTATATGTTGGTGTAACAATAAACAAATCTAAAGCGGCAGATCAGTGTTTTGGTTTTTGCGTCCGTTATAACTAAGCGTTTCTGAGAAATCTTCGAAGAACAGCGTGGGCCCGAGCGTAGCGAGAGCTGGGCATTAACGGTTTATGAGACGTGATTGACAGCTTCTGCAATCAAACCCCATATTGGCGATCCCATGGGTGTTCCTTTGACTTGTTCATATATTTGGCTGTTGAACTGGAAGTATGTTGTTAGGCGTAGATTTATGAATTCCAGCCAGCTTGTGTGTTGCATTTTTGATTGTTGTGGAAGTTGTTCGTCGTTGCTAAGTAATTGCTCCATGGTTTCTTTTGCTAGTTTTTGTCCGATAGAGGTATATAATGCTGTCACGTCGAAGGATACCATTATTTCTTGTTCATCTATTTGGATATCTCTGATTTTCTCTAGAAATTGGATAGCAGAGTTGATGGAGTGATCACAGGATTCCGTTAGGTGTTTTAGTTTTCTGTATAATTCCTTGGACAAATTATATGTTGGAGTTCCTGGGAGTGATACAATTGGTCGTAACGGGATATTTGCCTTGTGTATTTTGGGTCTGCCGTAGAATCGAGGTAGGACTGGTCCATTGGATTTCATTCGCCATTGGTCTTGTTTTGTGATCTGTCCAGTTTTGGTGAGCTTGTTTAAGGTCCTTTGGATGCGGTTGTCCAATGTTTGTATGGGATTTGTTGGGAGTTGTTGATATACATCTTCATCTTTGAGTAGTTCTTCAGCTTTCTTGG